TTTNNCACACACACACACACACACACACACACACACACACACACACACACACACACACACACACACACACACACACACACACACACACACGCACACACACACACACACACACACAGACATAGTGACAACCTCGCGGGGATAGTCAGGGAAGCTTCCTGTGACCTTCAAACGTCGAGATCTGATGAAAACTCGATTTTTGCAAAACGGGGTGAAAACAATAACTTCCCGATTTTTGAAAATCTGAGATTTTTAGTGGGAAGTTAAAAATTCCAATCTCGACTATTTTTGAGCAAACCATAAATAAATATTCATTATGCTGAACATATTAAGCTCAATTACCATTCTATCACTTCTAAAAAATATAAAGTATTCAGAATTTTTTTTAAAAAGTATAAATTGTATTTACTATTAATTATAAGCCCCGACTATTAAATAATTACTTCCACTAATCCCGTTATAAGATGAGATTTCTCGCCAATCCAATACTTTTTCTTTTGTCTCAATCCTTTTTTTTATTCAGGGTTAAAAAAAAATATCAATTTATCACACAAAATTAATCAATATCATAGAAGCGCTAATAAACCCTTATAAAACTCATCTGTTTCTATAACTTTTTCCAATTTTTTATTCAATTGTTGCAAATCATAGCGTACATATCGCTTGGTTGTTTGTATATCTCCGTGCCCCAGAAAATACTGTGCAGCAGCCAAATCATTTTCCTGTGCGAGTTTCGTTCCAATTATATATCGCATGACGTGAACGCCAAAGCCATCTGGTGGAACTTCACCAACAGCGGTCATGTAAAAACTGCGAATTGTGTTAGATAACACGCGGGGTGACATATCGAATAAACTTTCACTAACACCCGTTTTTCTATAGTTTTTTAATTTATCAGCATAAACCTCTACCAATTCATTGACGAATTCTTCCAACACAGCGTTCCATGGCACTGACCAACATTCTGATGTCTTACATTTAAGTTGTAAAACTGGAGATCGCTTGTCCAGTTCATCTAAATTTTGGACCGATAGCTTACAAATTTCAGCTGACCGCAAGCCTGAGTAATAGGCAAATAATATTACGTATGCTCGTTTGTTTTCATGTTTGTTGTCGTTACACCACTGCAACATTTTCGAGATATTGCTGCTGGATGGAACACGTTCTTGTGGTGGCTTTTGGGAGTCGAAAACCCGCTGATTTGGCTTTATAGCTGATTTCTCAAAAAATCTTACACGCTTAAGTTGATTGTAGTACCGCATTATTGTACTCGATCGCATACGTCTTTTATACATCTCGCTGATAAAGAATTCAGCGCGTTTGTCATTGTTTTCAACCGACGGCAATTTCAAAACATTGCAAATTATATGTTTTATTTTATCGTTCACTTTCGATAATTCTAACCGTTCGTCAAGTGTATATTTATAAAATTCTTTGTATTTGTCATTTTCCCTTTCATATTTCTCTGCAACTTTTCGTTTTTTTAGTGGGAACAAATTTAAATCGGGGATTTCTTCAGACCTAGAATCAACAGTTTCTTCCTTTTCGTCGATTTCCATCTCAAGAATTTTCTAAGTTTCTTTCAATAATTTCAACTTTTTAAAAATCGAATCGATAAATTTCTAAATACAATTGATAATTTACTATCTAAAATAACATATTTAAAAAAAAAATTAATTTTCTACTTTAATCACGGGAAAATTTTCAATTTTTCCAATGAAATTAAAATCAGATTAATGTAATAATTATTGAAAAAATTGCAATGTATACTTTTAAAATATTAATAAATATTTGGTAAAAAATGTTATTTCTTTTTTATTATCATTGTACTTGAAAAAATACCTTAAATTCGTGCCTCTAGATTAGAGTATCGCCTCAACGTTAAACATATAAAATTTTTTAGAAACAAGTAATTACATTGTTATGTTAGTGAAAATGGTGATTTTTGGTTAATAAAAATTTTTTTCTCAATATATATATACTCTCTATATAAATGTAGACTTTCAAATAATTTTTTAATGAGTATCATAGAGCAGAGAATGATGGGAGGGTCTATGTCATCTTCAAGCTACAATAAAAGAGGAAGAAAGCAAGAAAATCATGGAATCTTCATACAACCTCAGGTTCAAATTCCTGAAGACCAGTATGGAAACTGAACCGTACTGGTTAGACAGAAAAATCCCAAGTTGGCTAAAACTAGCTTGGTGCAGAGTCAGATGCGGCAACATAGGAAAGGCAGGAAAGAAGGGCTACAGGGATTGGCAATGCCGTCTATGTCAAAATGATGATGAAACCTTAGAGCACATCTTCAGATAGAGAATATTACAGAACAGTGTCAAGGCAGAGGTGAGGAACTTTGTCATGGATTAGATCGGTAGAAAAACAGGTGCCGATTTCGACTGGTTGCTTCTGTATACACTCGGAGGTGAGCCAATAAAAGAAATTGCCAACTAATTGGCAAATTCCTAAAACTCGTGAAAGAAGGGAGTGATCCCTTGGATGAAGATACAGGAAAACCATGATGCAGCAGTCTGACAATTCGCGAACGAAGTTGAAAAGACGGTAGCCAAAGAAGAAGTCATCTAGTGCATAAAATTTTTTATTCTTAAATGCCTAATAAAGGCTATATTAAATTCTTTTAATTTTCATCAACAAGTGCCTTAAAAGTCAATTCCAATATTTTTAATATAATGTAACTTAATTTAATTTAATTTAATTTAAAATATTTTAAAAATGTAAAATTTAAAATATATATAAAACATAGTAAAGAGTGATATTAGAATAACATGAAGTAATTAAGTAACAAGTGGTGCTAAAACCAGAGCTTTAATTATTTAATAAGATGCAGATAAATATAATTATATAACACCGTGTGATGAAGAATTGTAAAAAGTAGTTTTTACTGTTGTACAATGCTAAATAAATCTAAAAAAAAAAAAATCATTTGATAATGACATCAATCGGACGATAAACACTATAATTCCTAATATATTTCTTACATTCCTGATACAAACTTAAATCAACATAAATATCAAACCAAATTAAATTACTCAATAAAATTTTAAAATGATCAAATTTTGTATAGTCTTGATTAATATCATAAACAATTTGATCACCATCACCTGCATCATTCGTATTGATGATTGGTTTCAATGGCATTAAATTAATTACCATTCCATTGTCCGATGGCAGTGATTCCAATACATATAATTTGTATAGTGGATATAAAAATTTAGAATCAATGGTATACTTTTGATTGCGCAAAACCGGAGCTATCGAAAATATAATATTGCTATCTACATATCGAATCGGATTAAAGTGAATAAATTTATTGTTGTCTTCTTTTGTAATTTTCATTGCTTTATTTTCGTCGGCCTTGACGACATTTAATTTGTATGCGTACCGCAAAACTGTGTAGTCATGTTCATCATAAGTAACAAATGTCCACAAGGAGGACGAATTGTCAATATTAATCTTATCATTAAGTGTGCGATTATTGAAGTAATCCGTTAGTACCATAAAAATGCAATTATCATCACGCACACATTCGTTTTCAATATATTCATCAACCGATGACATTTCAATTATTTTAATAGTCACGTTATATAAATAATTACGTTAATTAAATAATTTTATATAAATACTATAATTATACATATTATGTTTATTTGTTCTTTATAATCTGTCTTCTAAGAAAAGAAAATAAAATAAATTATAAATTTTTTTGCTATTCATTTATTTTTTTTCTCTATGTTATTAATTATTATCAGCATTTTTTACATTTTCTTCATTAACTTGAGTCTTTTTTTCATAGCGTTTGCGAGATAGACTTCTCGCTCGTTGCAATTGTTCGTTTTGTAACTCTTTAACAATTTGAGATCGACTTCTATTTTGTCTGCGACTTCTTGAACGTCTTCTTCTTTTTCTTCGTAATTTTCCAATTGGATCAACTCCCAATGGCGATTTTTTCGTACTTTTCTCAAACATAATTTAAAGTAGATCGTCTTAAGCTGTTCATCGTCGATTAAAGCTATTAAAATATAAAATAATTGATTACTAATAATAAGCAAAAATTTTTTTAATTTATATCAATGATTCTTGATTTGAAAAATTTTACAGATCACGAGTTTGATTATAATTGACCAATAATATTGTAAAAAGTAAATCCTAGTCAGCTAGTTTTTTGATGCAACACGAAATATCGGAGAACAGTCATTTCAAATTAGCTCAGCAGAAGACAAAATTTTCCGAACGTATGCTGAACCTACCATTAAAAAATAAATTCTTCATTAATAAAAAATTTTTGTTTAAATTAAAATACAATATCCTTGAAATTTTTCATGTGATCAGCGCCCAAAGTATCATGACTAAGTAAACCAATAAACATAACCGTACTACCGTCAGCGTCAAAAGCATAAATAGTACGTTCCTTACTCTGCACATTGTTGAAATTATATTTTAAAAATATCTCTTCTATAGTAGATATCTGACAATAAGTTAATGTATTAAAGTCCGTATAGGAATAATTAAAATCATTAGCATTTACTTCATTTGGATAATTATCTTTCAATAATTTAAGTTTAAGAAGCTGAGTATTGTCCCAATAATTGTCTTCATCTTTTAGGGGAATAAACAAATGTAAAGTTGACAACCAAAATATAAGATTATCTCCTGTTTTCAAGAACGCCAAGTGTGTAGTAACTTGCGTAAATTCATCAGTTAGCCTTAGTATTTTGTTAAAATTAAACCACCGTAATGATGGTACTTTGCTCAAACATTTGCATACTTCGTAGGAAATCAATTGACCGCTGCTGTTGTACTTACAAATCGACCAATAATTTACTTCATCATTGCGAGATGCAAAATTTGAAACTGATAGCACATTAGATTTTTCAGGACAGCAGATTTGGGTTAAGTACATCGGTATGTTTACGGCATTATTATTTTCATCAAAAATCACTCTTTTTTGATAATCTGAGCAAAAGAACAATGTAGTTGTGTCGTAATAGTTGTAAACTAATGGCAACGATCGGTTCACATAAACAAAATTTATTGACGGAAAATTGTTCAACAACTCTCGACAATCTTCATAAGTTTCAGTAGACTTGTATTCCTCGAAGACTGGTTTCCGTGCTGATAAATTGAAGCTTATCAATTCCTTTAATTCCTTGCGTTCGATTCTGTTAATTATTATGTTGACGGCGTTAATATTTTTTTGATGATTATTGCTGTCTGGCAATTCGAATTTTATTATGTACAATCGTGTTGGCTCTTCCTTCCGATTTTTGACTATTGATTTGTCCGATCCAAATGGTGTTGTTGATACATAGTCAGAAATATCAACCGATTGCTTTACCAGCGATAAATAAAATATCAATGGCTCTGAAGAATCATCAATCATTGATATTTCAATAGTATTATTGGTTGCATTACGCCCATAAAAATTTGTTCCAAATATTTCGTATAGTCCAGCCATTTTTGTCATTTATTTTTAATTACATCTAATAAAACATGTTATTAAAAAAAAAAGCTACCAATATGAGCTATAAATACTCGCAATTTTATGATTTACGAGACATATTGATAAATCTTCCGACTTCTTGTTATTTTCTATATCTTTAAAAATAATAAGGTACCCGTGGGTAATAAGCTATCATATACTGTCGTAGCGCAGAAGAATTCCTAAAAAACGGTTTGAGTAAACGGTAAGCATTTTTTGTAATTTTATATTCATTAATTTAAAATCATTATTGTAATTTTTATCAATATCTTAATAAGTATTGTTGCTAAATTTAAGTGATGATTGATCTCTAATACCAATTTTATTAAGTATAGTATAACTACTTCCAGTATGTTTAATCCGTAGGCCTTATTACCCTATCATAGTAAAATAAGGCTTATTCGTACACAGAAAGAAAAATTTCTTGACTGGAGAACAAAATTCTTGGCTCAAGAAAATTTTCGGGTGCCTAAAGGAAGACTAAAGTTGTGTTGGCCGAAGTAAAAATTTTTCTTGAAATTCTATTCTTGGTGAAAGTAATTTTTTCGTAATTCAAATTATCATAAATACTTGATACAATAAATTTTATATTTGATCAAGATTTTTAGATACTTTAGGGAAGCAGCGCCACCTACTTCAGCTGAGAAAAAAATTTTCTCACTTTGAGAAAATTTTTCTTTTGAATATTTGATACCCATTTAATATTATTTTAGCGTGCAATTATACATATTGAATAAAAAAAAATGATTCAATATTATTTGAACTTCTCATTTGACATGTTAATCAATAAAAATATTAATGAAAATTTATTTCTATCGAGATATTTAATTTTTTGGAGCAAGAGAGAAATTTTCTCAAGACAAGAAAATTTACTTCTATCAAGAACTAAATTTTTTGGAGCAAGAAGCTGAATTTTCTCAAAACAAGAAGATTTTCTTGACTTAAATAAATTTTCTTGGATCAAGATACTTCTTAAAACAAGAGAATTAATTAAAGTGAAATTTCTTATCAAAAAAAAATTTTTTTCCACTCAAGAAAATAATTAGGAAAAAAAATATTTTCTTGGCTCAAGTGAACCATTTTTTCTGTATGGTTAATTCAACACAAGAGACAAGAAGTCCAATTACAGAACCATTCTGTCCAACCGGACTTTAAGACCGAGAGGAAATAAAGAGGAAGGCTTTGATCATCCGCGGGAAATTGAGTGCAAGCCCCAGACATTTCACGATACGGGTGGATGCGTTTGAATTAATAGAAGCTAATGCAGTGATTTCTTTAAAACTTAACTCCGTCAGAAGTGAATTGCAATTATCTATGGTAATTGTAGTTTATTGGCATCAGCAATAATGGGTAGTACTGACGTTAAATATAAATTGTTGAGCATGTTGTCGGTGTCGTCAAAGTGGGCCAAGTACTTTGCGAACGTACAGACAGCCGATGAGTATGTGATATTGCATCACCGCATAATCGGAGCTTGGATTATCACTAGGACTGCTATGGGACACCTATATAGGAGATTTGTTGCGTTAAAGGAGCCTTGATCTGTACTGCTGCAATAGACCAAGTGCTGTTTGCTGTTCGCACGCTATTGACCCCGTCTTCTTCATTTGATTCATTTATTATACTTGACATTTATATCGAGTTTTAACAAATTTATTAATTTATTTATCAGCCTTAGAAAAAGAAATTATTTATTTGATATAAAATTATTAAGATATTGAATTTAAATCTTCATTAAAAATCAAATTATTTGTAGAAGCATTAAAGTCTTTAAACGTTCCTAAAGCAATAAAATTATTAAGTCGTTGATTTTAAAATTTAATTGCTGTAAGGATTAATGAACGCTCTAGAGTAACTGTCTTACCTATATATTGAGAGAAAAAAATTATTTAAAAAATTTTACGTCAAAAAACAGTGTTAGAAATTTTTATATTGAATTTTTAACACTTTTTTGTGTAAATTTAACATTTATTCTGTTAATATAAGATAAAAAAGTGTCAAAAATTTTTAAAACGAATTTTTTTGACGCAATTTTACTGTATATTGTAATCAGAAATTAATTTTTTCAGATTTTTATTTTTTAGTTGAAGAAATAAAACATTTTTTTACAGTAACAAATTTTTAATGAAAATTTTTAAATTGTCTTAAATTATTTTTTTTTCAAAAAATTACTGTGAAAAAAATTTTATTTCTTCAGCTAAAAAATAAAATTAACAAATTAATTTGTTATTACAAAATTGCTCTTTTTCTTTAAAAAAATTATACAGTAATTTTTCATGATTTAAATTTAATATTAAAAATTAACTTTGAAATTGAAAATAAGAGCCAATTTTTTTTTAAATTGACGATTAATAATAATAATTTATAAAATAAAGCGATAATTCACTAATTATTAATAATAACTGACAATATTTCAGTAAAAAAAAATTTTTTTCAATAAAAAAATTTTATTTCTTCAAAGCAGTGCCACCTACTTCAGCTGAGAAAAAAATTTTCTCACCTTGAGAAAATTTTTCTCTTGAATATTTGATACCCTTTTTATATTATTTTAGCGTGCAATTTACATATTGAATGAAAAAAAAATGATTCAATATTATTTGAACTTCTCATTTGACATGTTAATCAATAAAAATATTAATGAAAATTTATTTCTATCGAGATATTTAATTTTTTGGAGCAAGAGAGAAATTTTCTCAAGACAAGAAAATTTACTTCTATCAAGAACTAAATTTTTTGGAGCAAGAAGCTGAATTTTCTCAAAACAAGAAGATTTTCTTGACTTAAATAAATTTTCTTGGATCAAGATACTTCTTAAAACAAGAGAATTAATTAATTTTGTTGGAATAAGTGAAATTTTTTGTGCACAAAAAAATTTTTTTTTTTCGCTCAAGAAAATAATTAGGAAGAAAAATATTTTTTTCGCTCAAGTGAACCTTTTTTTCTGTGTAAGGTTTTTGAAAAAGTTCAACTTTGTGACTGTTTGTAGTGAAAATTACCATTATACTTCATTATATTTTATAGCTAATGAATTAAAATAAAGATTATTGATAATTACATTAAGAGATTACATTTCGATAATTTAATACAATATTTTCGATTTTATTCAAAATTTCCCTTAGCTAAGCCTTATTACTCGCCGGTATCTTAAGTCTTAAATACGCTGAAGCATAAATTGAAGTAAAATATTTTTTTCTTCTAAGTTTTTTTTTTTTACTGTTTTGAATAAAGAAATTAGTTTTTACATCAAGAATATAAAATTCTTAAAAGAAACTGAAATCTAATTTTAGTTCTCAACAATTGTGATTTTTAATATATAGCAAAAAATTTTGCGTTATTGCGTCAAAGAAATTTGTGTTATAAAAATTTTATGTTAAATTTACACATAAAAGTGTTGAATATTTAACACAAAAATTTTTAACAAAAAATTTTTTGACGCAATAACGACAAATTTTTTACTGTGTAGAAATTGATTATTATTTTACCAAGATAATGTATATATAGAATTTTTCTTCGTTAATAAAATGAATTTCAAGATAAGCAAAATTCTTGAGTCAAGACAATCGGTTTTCTTCAAATTAATGTTCTTATTTAAAAATATTCCTCTAAAATTAAACAGTTTTTTTTTCGTGTGTAAATTTCATCAATCGTTATTGGTTGATTTATTAATTTGGATGAAAAAAATAAAACCCTAACTAGTATAAAAAAATGAATATTGTCACCAACAAATTAAAAATGTTAACAAAATTAATCAATGCGGAAGCAATCTGCAATAATCGGTTGCATTGTCTCATAATAATAAAAGTACGGCAAATCAACAGAACCTTCTGGAAGTTTAATTAAAGCGCGATGGTATTTATCGTCATTAACAAACGATTCATTTATGTTATAATAAAACTTATCGCTCGAAGTAACGACATGGATATCAATTGGCACGATTCGTTTTTGTTTCAAAACTTGATAAACTCTCAAGCACATTTTACACTTCTCAGAATTGTCGCGAAACTTCTTTGAATCTTCCTTGCTATTTAGCTTGCTTGCCAGGCAAGGAGACACTATTGTCGATTGATTAGGTAAACTCATTGAACAATTTTCGCTTTCGCGTTTGCAGATCCTTTCATCAGACAATATTCTACGCTTCCACAACCATCTGTAATGAAAATTCGGCACACTCACAATATTATAAATCCCGTCGAAGAATATGCATTCATAAACATTGAATTGTTTCAATGTATTCAGCAGATAATCTACGTAGAGGATTGCGTAGAAACATCCAGAATTGTTACCAGCCACTATAAATTTGTTCTCGTCTTGAATTTCCTGTCCCGGGTCTATCGGATTCATCTCAATGTTCAATCTCGGGAATATTGTGCTGTGCAATAAATTTATTATGAATCCCATTGTTTCATACAAATAAGCTTGTTGGCTGTTAGGATACTGGAAAACGCAAACTGTGCGGCCAGTATTGTAGGACAACATTTCGAAGAAATATTGCTGGATTGTTGTTGACTCAAAGTAGTCACCAGTAAACCAAATTATGGGCATCAAATTTTTTTTTCCTAATTTCAGTTCCGTATTAGAGCTTGGAATAATGTAGTATTTAAATTTCATTGATTTAAATTCAACTATTTTTTCTTCAGTATCAAAACCTTTAACTTTTTTGTTAGCTTCACATGCTACAAACAGTGGTGGCAGCCAATTTTTCGATATCATTCCATATAAAAACTTACCATTTATTAATAAAATAGCAGTAATTATTAGAAGGGTTATTATTATTATATAAATAACAATAGAAGCAACAATGAGTGCATTCTTCACCGATAAATCAAGTGACATTGTACGTTACAAGCAATTAGATTCTAACCTGAGAGGTTATAATCTTACTGAATATGTAAATGTATCTACTACAAAAGGGGATTGTTTTGCGCACTATTTTTATGCGACACCTATCAACAATCAAACATTAAAATTATTAAAAAACAATCATGTTGATCGTCTAGCATGTATTTACGTTAACAAACGCGATAACAAAGTGTTGTTCATACGTTATGACGGTTTGGCAAAATCATTTGATGACATTAGAACAGTCATTTACGATTACTGGACTATTAAGGAAGCAAACTTAATGATGAATGACAACAATAATATTGATTATTACATTGAAAAGATTAATAGAGATGAAATAACACTTATTGATACCGACAAAAATTCTATGGACGATTACGAATACGTCGGGTACGCTCACTGGCGTTACTTTGATCGGGGGATTCTGTACTATGGAACGCGTTATTTGTCCGATGAGGGCGTCGTTAGCGCCTTGGAAAACGATCAAACAAACCGGAACAAGAGAGATTTTCTTGAATCTTTCATTTTATACGCAACAGTACACGAAAGTGACGTACTGTGGTCACGAAATCAAATCAATGATTTTGTTAAACACTTTCATATTCAATCAGAAAATGTTACGGTTGTTTTACCAATTGATGAGAACGAAGATGACATCGTCGAAGATCTCTAATTATTTATATTTTATCTACTTTTATAATTACTAAAGACATTTATAAGATTTGACATTGGTTTTAGTGCAAAAAAATTACAATTTATGATTTTTTATATTAATTTTTTGTAGAATATAGAAAAAATATTTTTTTCAATTTATAAAATTATTTATATTTCCATGTTACCAACAGTTGACACTTATACTTTGTTTGTGTGGTCTTTTGATATGTAACTCTACAAGAGGGTTTATACAACTAGCTATTAGATACTCGCCGCTCCGCTGGGCGCTTTATAGAATTACTCTTTTAGAATTTAGATCTATAAGACTTGAAATTTAATTAGAGTATTGTTTTGACTTGCACAGATTCTCAATTCTATCGAATTTGCATGCATCTTTTATCCATATAATTATTCTAGCTAATATTCATTGTAATTTTCAATGTGCAATCATTATAACATTCCCGTGTCTTTCTTACAAAAATTAATAATAAGGTAAAGTACCCAGTACTTGAACACTTCTAAAAATGGGACCATTAGTTGAACAGACTTTTAGAATTATTGTAATACAAAATCTGTATATACTTATATTATGAGTAATATGCGGTTGTTATAATTATTCAATAAGTTTTTTCAATTATAAATCAAAACAATTACATTTTTGTTAACTTTAAAGTTAACATGTCGAGAATAACTGTTAGATGCTATTTTTTTCATGAAAAAGGTTCTAAACCGTAAACCGAACAATCAGTAAAAAAAAACGGTATATCATCATTTTAAGTGAAAAAAATTGTACCACCCAATAAAATAGTCTTTTCTAAATAATACATATTTTTTGCAAAGACATAAACTATAATTTTTATATTAAATTTTAGCGTTCAACTATACCTCCCAATTTTCAAAGCGGAACCCAGAACTTGAACAAGCTGGGACCATATAATTTTAACAGCACTCTAAACTTTAATAGGTTTATAAACTAGTGATCAGTATTGTGATTTGTATTAATTACTGCAAATTAAATAAGTTTTATAACTAAAAATTATTATAGTTAAAAATTATTGAACGTTTTGAATTGAGCTTTTTTGATTTATAATTGAAAATTTACTTTGTCATTCATAAAAAATGTAATTAAAAAATCAAATACAAATGTTTCTCATTTTTAAATGAACATATTAAATATCCACAGTATTATTTTTAATATTATTCAATAATATGCTATAAATCTTTGAATATTTCAATAAAACGTTAAAAATTTTTGGTGTGCCTAATTGCCATATATTTTATTAGTTCAACTACTGCTCCCGGAGTGTTCAACTACTGCGGCTTGTCAGAATTGATTGTTCAACTACTACTCCTTTCATAGTCTATCTTAAAAACGTCGTCCAATTATAAATAATCAATTATTTAAGTTATTTTGCACTTCAATCAATTCAAAATTGTTTATATTTTCATGAAAATCACTAATTTGAACTAATAACTACATCTTTATATATTAAAAGTAGGGTCAAATACGTTTTACTTTGAAACCTGTTCAACTACTGGGTACTTTACCTTAATTGATTTAAATAAAAAAAAAAAAATTTGTAATGAGCATTGAAAGTTTCAGTTAAAGAAATTGCAGGTCTCATAAGTGAATAAATCTGGCTAATATATAAACATAACCAATAGAATTAAAAAATTTATTTTAAACAAATGACAATCGAATAGAATAAATTTAGTTACAATAAAAATTCACTATTTTTAAGTCAAAAAAATATAGGCTCCGGATATGTAATCACTAACATATCATATACTAAAACCTTCTCCGAAACACACTGCATCTTATATGGTATAAGTATTATTCCGATCGGTTCAGTAGTTTTCGCAGAATAACCGGACAAAAACACCAGCTCTCCATTTATTAGTATAGAAGATAGATAACTTAATAACAAAACAGGTAAAAACACTAAGACAATTTTTCAGGAAAAAATATTTTCAAAAAATATGTATCTTTATATTAGTACTAGAATTTTCGTGATAAATTAGTCATCACTGCAAAGTATTTCACTTAATTGAAATAACGAATAAAGGAAATTTATTTTGAAAAAAATTGTAAAAAATGGCAAGTGCTGAATCACTAGTCGAACCGTTGGATCCCGATGATTCTTATCAAAAATTATTGAAACTAAGTGAAGTTGGTGGAGGTGTGTTGCATAATTTTTATGGCATTGATAAAGCAGCATTCAATATTAACATAATCGACAAAATAGTATCGTTATGTCAGAAGAAAGAGTATGGTATCAAAGACTTACTCGACTTGCGCGACATCGTAAATTTAACGATCTTCAATCAGTATATTGAAGAAAAAAACATTGACCGAATAAACCAATTGGAAAAGTATATTGACGTTTATTTATCAGCGATCTGCCGTTATAGAAGTCAAAATTATCATTTCGTACGCAATAAATTGCTACCATTGCTGCGCTTAAAAACTAAACCTCCGTTTAGTGAACCTGATTTGATCGCCAAAGGTACTGTATCTCTAAAGTATCCGGAATCAGATGCAAAACGAAAAATAAATAATAACATTGATATTATTCAAATGATACGCTCGCAACAGGCACACATTAGAAATACGTCTTATGAATTACTAGTTTATAATAATCGGTCAAATATTTATGGCTCCAAACAAATTATTTTAACTGGATCAGTATTCGTTACTTTGGCTACATCTTTAATTAATTTGCAAAATGTCATGCTTAAGAATAATAATGAAATGGGATTTTATGTCAGGCCATTTTTGGAAGTTCATACATTGAAATGGGAAATTTAGTTTGTTTATTACAAAAAAAGAAACAATTTTTTCAGCATTATTTGAATGGATAAATTATGAAATTCTGTTTTTCATTTTTAGAATTTAATTCATAGAAAAATATTTATTTCTAGAATAAACAAGATAATTTTCAAAATAAAAATTAATATTCTAAATAATAAATTTATTTAATACAATAATTAAGTGGTGCCTTGCGAGTCAGGAAACAATTTTAATAATAATTATGATTATTTTAAAAAAATGACTTAATAATTAAGTTTATTGCACGACTCATGATGCGAAACATCAGAGAGTGCTTTACGATCGAAAAATTTTTTTCGCCCCATTTTGGCAACATTTTTTTAGTATTATAGCCTTGTTACTTCACGGAATCAAGATATTTTGCATACTATTGGCGGGATAATTTAATGGAGATTAATTCCATACTTACTAAAAATTAATTTAGTGCAATAGAAACGGAAAAAAATATCAAAATAGATCAAAAAATTTTTCTGTCCGTCATGTATGAAATTCCGGAAACACTGTAACTTGTGAAAAAATCAATTATTTGAGTTAAATTTTTTTTTTTTTTAAATTCTAATCGACAATTGTAGGTCACCGAATGCGAATGGCTAATTAATTCAGGGTCATTTAATTACAATTAATAAAAAAATGAAAACTACAAGACTGTATACCTATATATATCCATGTAAAATAACATGGGTGGTGATATATCTATATCTATAGATATTATGTACATTTATTTCACCAGAGGCGCTTTTGCAGTACCTTCCTAGTACAGCTGTTTTTTCGGGAACTAATTTTAAACGACTTATGTTTTTTTTTTTTATTTTACTAGAATTCAAATTTACGCGCGCGTCTGACTATAGAGTTTGCATATATTTTCATGCTTATGATATATTCGACCAATCACGTTACGAATAGTTTGATGCCACATACATTTCATCTCAATTTTATATTAGGATTATTTTATAATTAAATGAGCATTATGAGTCGTGCACTTTTGGATTTTCTAAACTTTTTGTATTCAATATGTATTCTACAATTAAGAAAATAATAATATTAACAATTTAATCAACCTTGAACAAAAGAGGATGTAGAAAAAGACACAAAGTGATTTAAAAAATTGCACGTGTCATAAAAACTATAAAATAATAATTGTTATAAATATAATAGATGATTAAAATTAGTTTTATTAATTTACAATCTAAATTTTAAAATGTGTAACTATAATATAAGGTAAAAGACCCCATTAGTGGCACTTTCTCTTTCAATGAAAAAATATTCTACTTGGAATAAAAATTAAAAATTTTTTTGATCTAAAGGTCTTAAAGATTAGAAATAATATATTCATTATTGAAATTAATGATTTCATTAATTGAATAAGTACCAAAATCAAAGAAAGTGTCACTAATGAGGTCTTTTACTTTAAACCATTAACTAATTAACTCATTATTTGTTAACTTAATTTTACAAATGACTACAAGGTACTAAGGTCTTTCTTAATAAATTATAATTATGGTTTAATTACAATCAAATTCACAAATAACAAACCTTAAATTTTTTATTTATGTATTTGAAAATAAAAAGATTAAATTATTAAAAAGTATAATTCATGGAAAAGTGGATTAAATAAAATAATTATAGCTTTCTCAAATTGTTTCAAAAAATATATTGAAAAATTCTAGCGTATAATAAAATTTTTACATTTACAATAAAAATATTTTGAACTCGACTCACTCAACCTGAACATCCTCGACAACCACAATGGATGCATTCTACGACTCTACCTTCTTCCAACTTCCCTTTAGGAACTCGGCAAATACAGTTTGTTTTAAAGTTAGTGTCTCGAGTTTGGATGCATCGAAGACAACACAAATTTTCGTATCCAGTTTTCCGCCATTTAGCGATGAGATTTTTATCCGCAATCTTTTCGTTTACACAATAGTCATATAATTCCCTGCTTATAGCTTTCCTCCGGTAGAAGAGATCGTAGATGTACCTAGACTTTTGATGATGAACTTTGAAGACTGACCATAGTGACTCGTGTATCCTTTTTCCTTCATGAGTTTCTGTTTCAGCTTCCCTCATTTTGGATTCCAATTCCTCCAACGTTGGCTCAATCAGATCCCATCCTTCTGGAGGTGACTTTTTGCTTCTGCGTACTTTTGGCATTGTCACTCTTGTGTACAGAATTATTTAAGGTTACAAGAAAATTTTCCACGTGGTAAGTAAATAAATTTTTAATTTAGCAATAAAGCTTTTGTAATCTTTGAATTTAACACTGAACTATTTTTTATTTAGCAGAACTATCAAATTTTATAAATTGAAAAATAAATAAAGTAATGTAAATAATTCCGTAAGAATCACTTGAGGTTAAACGACTACTCCTCAGCACAGAAAGTGACAGAATGCTTAAATTGTGGAGTGTGGAATTGGATAGCGAAGAACTCTAGTCAGAGAAGAAAACTCAAAGGCCATCTGGTGGTAGCGTCCTTAGACTTCAACTATATATACATGTGTTTAAGTTGGGTTATTGTTACAGGTAAAAAAAAAGCGAAAAAATAAGCAATAATTCATTATTAAATTTTTTAATAATAATTCAAAAAGAATTAAATTTTCATTTTTTTTTTAAATGTTTTATATAATTAAAAATGTGTTATATTTCTAAAATTTGGCTAACTTAATTTTTATGTTTTACAGACTTGGTCTCATTAGAGAATCAATCGATAACAAGCGGACTGTACAGCTTAGACTCATTGTAATTATGATAAAATTTATGCAAACGAGTCTGGATTTATTTATTTATTTATTCAGTTTTTATGTCAAGGCAAATAGCCGAATGACAAAAATATACATAGATTTATACTAAAGTACACGTATTGCAAAATTAAATTAAATATAAAAAAAAGAAAACAAATAGGATTATAAACTTTATGAAATTCTAATGATTTTAATAACACTGAAGTTAGCAGACGTCTAAAAATTTTTGATTTTTTTTTTTTTTTAATTAAATTACAACTAAAAAAATATTTATAAAAAATTGCACTTATAGTTTTTCAAGTTTTTAACATATGATATTTTTTTTTTTTTTAATTGTTTAATTGAAATTTTTTCGATAAAAAATTT